TTACAGTTCCAAATTCTGAAATGGGCTCACTGGGCTACCATCAAGGTGTTGGCCAGACTCTGTTCCCTTGAAGGCTCTAGAAGAGAATTCCTTGTCTTTTCCGGATTCTGTGCTTGGGTACTTTGGCTCATGATCCCTCTCTCCATCTTCAAAGTCAATCCTGCAGCATCATCAATTCTTTCTCTGGTGACACTTCAGGATCTTGACAGGAGGCTGACTCTTCTGGCTCTCCTTTCTACATTTAGATAATCTTGAGTGTATGCTATAAATTTAGATCTCCAAATTGAACAAGACCAGAAAGGCCTGCTCTTGAGGTGCTCACAGACTATTAAAAATAAGAAAATAGGGGCCAGCAGATGGCATAATAGTTACATTGCTGGACTCCCACGTAGTCGACCGCAGTTCAAGTCCTGGACCTAGTGGCTTAAAACTCACATGAGGCGTGTGTGTGTGTGTGTGTGTGTGTGTGTGTGTGTGCATGCCCAAGATCCTGAGGGGAGACTGGAGGAGAAAGGATTTTGGCATGGCCACCCCTCCACCCCCCGGGGGTGATTTCTCGCTTTCTGTCTCTCTGGCAAGTGCATGTGCCTTATAGCAAAACCTCTCTTAAAAAAAAAAAGAAAGAAAAGAATTGGAACATGATGTAGTGTGACCACCAATAAAAATATGTACAAGGTATAGTGGTGGTGCAAGGAAGAGGGCCTGTAATTCTATTTAGTTGTGCCAGGGCAACTCCACGATGTAGACAATGATTAAATTTGGTCTTGAAGGAAAATAGGAGCTCACTGGGCCAATGAGGTGGAGAGGAAGAAGAATATGGTAACATTTGTGAAGAAAACTTCAATGTGAAAAGAAACAGGTTATGGAAGTATCAAGTCAAATAGGGAGACCTGTTTGGCAAGAAAAATAAGTGGTTCCATAAAATACCCCAAGAGAGAACAAGGACCAGTTCATAATAATGAGTTGAATACTGTGCTGAAAAGATTTTATCTTTTGGATGGAAGACTCTCTGCTCAGACTTCATCCTCCTGCTCCCTGGTCTAGTCAGGAGCCAGGTTAGAAGACCCTACTTATTCTGTCTCTTTCCATCTTTCTCTATTTTAGTTTTTTTAATTTAAACTTAGCTCTCTGCTGACCTTTTGTCTTTCTAATTCTTACTTTTTCCCTGCCCCCATAGGAGAAGCCAATCAGCAACCATCTACATCTCAGTTAAAGCAGCCCCTTTCGCCTGGCATGCTAGCTTACTGCGCGCTTTTCTTTTTCTTTTTTGACAAAAATTTTTTTCTTTTTCTTATTTTTTTGCCTTTTTTTTTCTTTTCTTCTTCTTCTTTTTTTTCTATTTCTTTTCTTTTTCTTTTTACTTTTCTCACTTCCCTGCTCAGACTCTATACACTCATTTTCTAGACAGGTCTAGGTGCTCAATAGCCAAATACTTGAATACTTTTAGGGTCAGACTAATCCTCAATTTTTATTGAATCAGTTGTGTAAAGGGATAGAAATGGTACTGTGTACATGCAGGTTATCTCTTTCTGCATTCCTCTGATTGCTCAGATTTAACTCCAAAAAATAGGAAAAAAATGTATAATCCATGAGATGACCAGAAACCATCACAGAAGCACAAGAAATATGAGAAACAAAGACATTATCTCTATGTCTGGACCCACAGGACAGTCGAACAGGTTTCTTGAGGGAAGGAGTGAGAGACAGGATGAACAGCACAGTGTTACAACACGGAGATGGCGCAGTGTTACAACTCTTCAGGGTCATCCAATTATTGTGGGCAGCACGGAGACGACGCAGTGTGGGCCAGGGATCGTTGTTATATACATGTTGGTGGGCGGTGATTGGTTATTCTATATGTAAATGAAGGATTGTAAAAGGTGGGTTATGATTGGTTGATTGGACCAATCATGAGGTGCCGGATATACAAATCTGAGGGATTCTAGTGGCCAATCAGAGTATGGTTTTGAAAGTGAGGTTTTGAAGGGGAGCCAATTGTGACCTTTGGCATTGTGTAATTGTTTGCTGAGAAACCGAAACCTAAGGGCGATATTCGTTGGTGCGCAGCCTCCCACATCTCTACTCTAATGGAAAATAATAACTCCTCTTCCTCCACAAAGAATATAAGGGTACTTATAGAAATGTCAGATAAAGAATTTAAAATATTCATAGTGACAAAGCTAACAGAGACATAAGAGAATAGAGACAACAAACTCCAGAAGATGCAGGAGAAAAGAGACACCAAGTTCCAGGAGGTGAGGAAGTTCGTGCAAGAGCTGAAAGACGAGATACACGTCAGAAAAAAGAACCAAGTGGAATTGTTAGAGATGAAGGCTCTAATACAGGAAACCAAAACTTCTGCTGAAGATATCAAAAGCAGATTAGACCATGTGGAAGACTGAATCTCAGATGTAGGAGAAAGAACCTCTGACCTAGAGAAATTCACCAAAAAGACTGAGAAAAGAATCCCCCCAAAATGAGAAAAACATACAAGTTATACTAGATGCCATTAAATGCCCAAACATCTGGATCATTGATATCCCCAGAGGTGAAGAAACTAATAAGGGCATAGATAATCTATTTCATGAAATCCTGGAAGAAAACTTTCTAAACCTAGAGAGGTACTCAAATATCCAGACCCAAGAAATACAAAGGACCCCATATAGAATCGACCCAAGATCTTCCCGAGGCACATCATAGTCAGATTGACCAAAACCACAGATGAAGACAAGATACTAAGATTGGCAAGAGAGAAATATCAAGTTATCTACAAAGGATATTCCATCAGTCTAATAGTGGACCTCTCATCAGAAACAATGAAAGCAAGGAAAGAATGGGAAAATATTTTCAAAATGTTAAGTGAAAAACAATTTCAACCAAGAATACTATACCCAGCAAGATTATCTCTCACATGGGAAAAAAAGACACAAACATTCTCAGATAAACAAAACCTGAAAGAATTTATCAACACCATACCAGCTCTCCAAAAAGTGCTGAAGGGAGTGCTATACCAGGAAAACTAAAGTCGGGTACACAGAAATAAGAGTACAAGAAACAACCAAAAGAATGGCCAGCCTAATGGTAGGGACAAGTTCGGAGTTGAATGTTAACTTC